ATTTTGTATGGGATTTTTAGAAATGTTTAAAATCCGGTGTAATTTTTTTATCAAATTAAAAGTTGGCGTAGAAAATTGGAACATGTTTGAAAATTTGTGGGGGAATACCCCTATAAAAAATAATATAACTTGAAGACACTAATGAATCTTTTATAATTTGTAATAATTTTAACGTTGATATAAAATTAGTAAAGTTTGATAACAAAATATACTTATAAAATTAAAGTATTATAAAACCATATCTCCAAAAAGCCATATTTTTTGAATAGGTATATTTATTATAATCGAACAATTGTTATAATTTTATCAAAGTGTTGCTTCCCTGACACAAAAAAAATCATAAAATTATTGTTCTATTCCGTATAAAATATCAACAATCCAAACTTTTTTACGGTAATTGTCTGTATATTATATATATGGGTAAATAACCTAAAAATCACGCACTTTCAATAAAATATCATATACATATATGAATTTTGAAACTTCTACAAAATACAAAACTTCCTAAATTTTGGCATACATCTACATTTACTCTAACTTTGGTAACAATTTAACAAATTAAATGACGTGTTATTGTTATATAAGAAAATCATATCATCATTACGACGTGGAAAAAAAACTTAATTTGAAAATAAAAATATATTATATATAGATAATATATATATTAAAAAAATATAAATAAAAAATATGTATACATACATATGCGTATATATACATAACTCTATATATCTACATATACATACATATATATGGATATATATATAAACATAAATATATATACATGTATAGATATATGTATATATATGAAAGACAGTTAAAAAAAGCAATTAAAGAAAAACAATTCTTGAATTACCATTTGCTACAAGAAAAATTCAAATCGGACCAAAACTGAATCAATTCACCGAAATCTCTGCAGGAGCTACAACCGATTCCGACCGAGAATCTACTTTCGCCCGATCTAGGATGTAATTTGTTGTCTCCTCCTCTTCGTTGTTGTTGAGTTCACCTTATTGAATGAGTTCTTTTTGCTCTTATATTGACGAAATCTTTACCAATTAAAGACTACGTCATCAGACATATTTTTTGGTTTAGAGAATATTGGTGTTAATATAATTTATACATGTTAATATTGGTGTTATATTTGTTAATATATCATTAATCATCGTACATAACTTATATTTTTTTTTAAAAAATTTACTATTGCCATTATATTCAAATTAAATTTATAAATTTACGGAACCTTTATATACAAAAATTTAATTAAATTCAAGTGGTACTTTTAATATATACTTTGTATTTATGTACGTATAAATTATATCAAACTTTGTTTACATTTAGTAGGAATACAAATTTTATCAAATATATCATCAAGTGGTGTTTTTAACGTAACATTTACGCTAATGTTTGTCATAGAGATAAAACGTATAAATAGTTTATGTCAAATTAATAAAAAAAAAATACAAACGACCAAATTTAAACCCTAATATTTTAAATTACAATATACAATTATCAGCTATCTACAAATTATTTGCGACATCTATAATTCAGGAATAATTTTATATAAATTTAATAAAATTAAAACTACTTACGTGTAGTCTTATACCTTACATAACCATAATATTTATTAATAGAATTAACTAATTTTATAGATTTTGGAATTTAATTTGTAATTATTATTGCCAATGCATTGAATTTGTGATAAGAACATGCAAAACACTGATTTTCTACAACACATCACCAGATTCGTGTAGGAAACTATTAAGTTTTCAAAAAACCAGAAAACATATAATATCACATAAAAAAACAAAAGTGTAGTTGAAAATAAAAAAGCATGTCCTTCAAAGAGGATGATTCCTATATCTAAATATTTCTTGGAAAAAATATTCAAATCTCAAACAAACGTATGAAAAGATTACTCTCATACGGAGAATAATCTAAACCGGAAGAGAGTGTCCATTTCACTTGGAGCTAGTGAGCTGGGAACGGATAAACTTGGCGGCATCAACCATTTTCTTGAGCACCGACTTCATCTATGTGCCAATAATACTAATGTAATAATAGGGTTATTAGTACGTAGGCTTAAAAAATGAAAACGATATAAAAAAAATCTTAATACGTTTTTTTTTTTGAAAAAAATCTAAGCAGAAGTTATAAAAATCAAGTGTTTCGGATTAATCTGTCGATAATTTTTAAACGATTTCCAGACAACCAGAGATATGTATCACTAATACGAAGACAGCCTTCATCATCCATGAACTCGTTCCTGTCAATGGAATACATATAAATGGAGGGGATTAGATTATAGTACACTCTTTAATATTGGTAAAAGTTCAACATTGCAGCACGCTTCTCAATTCATTTGTTTCCCAAATCATTTTCTTTACGTTGGGTATATATAGGAGATATTTTTCATAGTCATCTTTAGTTTTCAATACTAATTAAAAAAGAACAATAAATATAGATGTTAGTGGGCTAATGAATATGACTTTTTAATACCAATTAAAAAATAAAATAAATATAGATGTTAGTGGGCTAAACAGTTATATACATATATATAAGTTGGATGGAAGCTATTGAATTATGATAATTAAGTTGTTGTATAATGGTAAATTAATCACTTGTCTTTAACTGTTAAAAAATGTAAACGAAATTAAACAACAAATACAACAACGTTAGTCTTTTAATCATTGGGTGGAAGCTGTTGAGTCATGTTTTAATTAAAAGCATCATTGGGTCATGTTTCAATGTATAAAAAAAAAAGAAGAATATTTACAATATTTTATTAGTACTCAATATATTTTGAATGAAACATAACATATATTTTTATCATTGGATTGTATCTAACTAATAAACATGATACATATACATGTTTTCCTTATTGTAAATTCAATTAAAAAAATTAACGCAGCCACTTGTTGGATTATATATAATATTGTTCATTCAATATGTTTATTATTTTTATTGAAGTAAAATTTACAAATTTTCTAATTCGTTATGTTTATTATTTTTATATTGAAGGTAAATCTATAAATTTGTATAATTAAAATACGTATATCGTATCTTTATGTGTAAGACATAATTAGTTGTATAATAGATTTATATAGGTGAGAAAGATTATAAATAAAGATTTGAAATGAAAAAAATTAATGCAAATGACACATAGAAAAATTAAAAACAAAATGCCACACGGATGATGGCATGGAGTTGAGGTGGCTTCACCAGAATCCTTCAAACTTAATTATTTATATATAAGATAAGATTAGCATTAGTCATTCATATGATGATTTTTCAATGCACCATACCATTTCTCGTTTAATTATATTTATTTTGGGTTTGGCTTTTAAAATTTTATAAAATTTATAAGCGTTCTTATACTAAATAAATATAATCAGAATTAACACACCAATATGTCATATAGTGACATTATATTCAATTTAAATTTACAAATGTACATGCTTTTTATAAAGATGTACCTTTTTCCCTTTTTAAACTATAATAATCTATTTGTTCATTTTTTTACATATTGCCATTATATTCAAGTTATTTTTATTTGTATTACATGTCGCGTAAAGCTCAAGCAACATAAACAAAACTGGAAAAAACTAAAAATGCAGTATAATACCTACAACTACAAGCAACAAAACCTCGCGATCAAATTAGTGATGGAAAATGGACCGGCTCGGACCAGCTCTTCTCGAGCCAGTTCATTTTTTGTTTAGTCCGTTCGGTCTATTTTTTATGAGCTAGAAAAAATCTGACCCAAACCAAATTATCAAAGTTCTGAATCGCCTCGCGAGCCAGTCCGTTTTGACCAAATTATCCAATTTTTTAAAATTATATAAAAATTAATAATTTGAAGTTATACATAACAATAATTTGAAGTCATTCAACATATCATAAAATATTTAATATAACATTCCATAAAACCATATCCAAATAAAGAAAAATTAACAAAAGTTATCATTTCACGTCACAAACCAACAAAAAAATGCCATACACAAACAACATCAAAATATAACAAAAAAGTATATACCAATGCCAACATATCATGAATTCTAATTTGCTACATAAACGTTAGATGTGAAGAAATTAAAGTATGAAACCCTAATATTTTTTTAATATCAGCTCGCGATCGATTGAGCTAGTTCGGATGAGTTCGGACTCGCTGCGACCTGGATTGTTCGGTTCTTTTTATTTGGTTTTTTTATTTTTCTAGTCTAACTCGGTAAAAAAAACGAGCCAACGACGACCTGCCTCATGAATCTGGCTCATTTTGCCATCACTATCAGATTCGTCTAGTCTTGAATCAGTTTTTCTGTCATAAAGAGATTCTATTAGACTCGTATAATTTATTGGGATATTTATTATTTGAGTTTATGGTTTTGGGATATTACAATATTTAGATAATATTTGGATTAGATCTGATATTAGTATATTTTTACTAGTTTCCTATTTTCATTATCTTCTATATAAAGGGCACTTTTCTATGAAATAAAATATCATAGAATGAGATCGGATCCCTATAGCCTGCGTTATATCCATATGACTTGCCAGTGTTATTAACAGATCCACACGGGGAAGGTGCACCATCAACCTGGTTCAGGCAACGATTGAGAGATTGATGCAAAAGGGTGCCGAGAAAAACTGAGTATACTGTTGAATTTTAATCTTGATTACCTAGAAGAATTCAAAGTCAAGGATGCCATTTTCAAGAAGTTTTGGAAGGAATAATCTAGAAGTTTGTAGCAGTTTGAATGTATTGAATATGCATGATAAATGAAGTTTAAATAAATATGTGTAGAAATATGTGTTTAGGATAAGTATAAAAAGGGATGATGTGTAGAAAAAAAAAAGAGTGTTGTAAGAGAGAAAAGTCGTATGGATATATATAAAAGAGTTTTTTGAGTGTTACTTATGAATTCGAGAAGTATCACTGAGCGAGGTCCATTTTATATAGTTTTTTTAAGAGCTAACAAAGTGGTATAGAGCGGTGGTTCGTGATGGCTAGGTCGAGTATATCTTTCCCGATTCCAAAGCTCACGAAGGAGAATTATGAGAGGTGGAGTATCCAAATGAAGGCGTTTCTTGGAGGCCAAGACGTATGGGATGCAATCGAAGAGGAGTATCATGAACCGGAGGATTTGGATACGGCGACTTCTGCCGTAAAGAAAGCGGCGAAGGAGGCAACAGTGAAGGACCAAAGAGCCTTGTCATTCATCCAACTCAGCATGGATGATTCGATATTCGAGAAGATTGCACACACTACATCATCAAAGATGGCTTGGGATACATTGACGAACTCCTTCAAATGTATCGATAAAGTGAAGAAGGTGAGACTCCAATCTCTTCGTGGTGAGTTTGAAGCATTGCAAATGAAAGAATCTGAAGAAGTATTTGATTATATCTCTCGAGTGATTGCCGTGACTAACCAACTTGAGAGTAATGGTGAAAAGATGAAAGTTAGTAGAATTGTGGAGAAGATACTTCGGTCTCTCACTTCGAAGTTTGATCACATCGTTGTTGCGATCGAGGAGTCGAATGTCATCGATGACATGACGGTGGATGAGCTCACTAGTAAGCTATAAGTCCATGCAGAAAAGATTAAGAAGAGAAACATAGAACCGATCGAGCATGCGCTTCAAGCGAATGTAAATGTCGATGAGAAGGTATTTGATGATCAGAATCAAAGAGGTCGAGGTCGTGGTCGTGGACGCGGTCGAGGACGCGGTCGAGGACGCGGTCGAGATCGTGATCATGGACATAAAGATGGCCAGTGGCATCAAAACCAGAATGAATGGGGTGGAAGCTCTTCAAGAGACCGTGATAGAGGATGTTACATCCAAAGTCAATACAAACGTGACATCGAGTGTTACAAATGTCATCGTTGTGGCCATTTCTCTTATGAATGTTTTGATAGGCCGGATGAAGAAAAAGTGCAAGCCAACTATGCGAAGGAGAAAAAGGAGGTGGAAGACACTGTTTGCTAGGCATGAAATAGCCCGGATGGAGAAAGAAAGCAATTCTGGTATCTTGATACCAGTGCTAGTAACCATATGTGTGGTTACCGTCATATGTTCGTGGATATTGACGAGTCGGTAACGGGGACCACTACTTTCGGAGATCTATCCAAAATCTCCGTCAAAGGCAAAGGCAAGGTTTTGATCAAGTTGAAGAGTGGAGGCCATCAGTACATCTCAAACATGTATTATGTGCCAGGTATGAAAACCAATATTCTGAATGTTAGTCAATTACTTGAGAAATGTTATAACATTCCATCCAGGGATTAAAATATTTATCTTAGAGACGAAAAGGGGAAACTTTTGTCATGTGTTCCGATGGCTAAGAACCGAATGTTTCCGATAAACATTCAAACTGATGCGGGAAAATGCTTGAAAGCATGTTTCCAAGATGAATCTTGGTTGTGGCATCAAAGGCTTGGTCACCTAAATTTTGGGGGCTTGAAATTGTTGTCGACGAAGGTGATGGTGAATGGTTTACCACCCATTGATCAGTCAAACCAAGTGTGTGAAGGTTGCTTGGTGCAACATCGACAAAGTTTTCCAAAGGAGTCATTGACAAGAGCAAAGGAGTCATTGACAAGAGCAAAGGAGCTCCTTGAGTTGATACACACCGATGTGTGTGGCCCTCTTGAACCGCCATCTTTCGGGAATAACAGGTATTTTTTGTTGTTCATCGATGATTATAGTAGGAAAACGTGGGTTTATTTTTTGAAGAAAAAGTCAGAAGTGTTTTCGGCGTTCAAGAGGTTTAAGGCCATTGTTGAAAGACAGAGTAACTATGAAATTAAATCGTTGAGATCAGATCGGGGTGGTGAGTTTACATAAAAGGAGTTCAAGATGTTTTGTGATGAGAATGGTATTCGAATGCCGCTTACCGTTCCATATTCACTCCACAACAAAATGGCGTTGCAGAGAGAAAGAACATGACTATTTTGAATATGGTTCGAAGTATGTTGAAGAGTAAGAATCTGCCGAAGGAGTTTTGAGCTGAAGCCGTTGATTGTGCGGTTTATTTGTTGAATCGATGTCCGACGAAGAGTGTGTGGAATCGGACACCTCAAGAAGTGTGGAGTGGATACAAACCAAATGTATCTCATATGAGGATATTTGGTAGTCTTGCATATGCTCATGTCCCATAACAACGAAGGAAGAAACTTGATGATCGTAGTGTGAAATACATCTTTGTGGGATACAGTCAACAATCAAAAGGTTACAAACTATATGATCCCATTGCGAAGAAAATTAAAATCAGTCGAGATGTGATTATAGATGAAAAGAGTGCATGGGATTGAAGTTCGGATGACAAAGAGAAGTTTACTTTCTATCCTTTTGTGATAGAAAATGATCAAGAAGAGGAGCTTGAACAAGAGGTTTCGACGCCAACTCCACAATCACATTTTGAGGTTGGATCCAGCTCGGGAGTATCTTCATCAACCGAAGATAGTTCTAACGCTATTGGACCGAGAGGAACGTGAAGTTTGGAGGAGATCTATGAGGGGTTTTAACCCTAATAACCCACTTGGGTCGCAGCAATTTCAGGGTACACCACCCAGAAAAAAAAATTTTTTTTTTCAATTTTAACCCACTTTTCGATTGAAAAAGTCCAAAATACCCTTTTCGTTTTATTTTTTGCGACCTTTTTGCGACTAACATATAACTGATATACAACTAAAATAAGACGGATAATTTTTTTTACCACCTTTTTGTAACTATATTTAGAATTAATTACGAAGTCGTAATAACGAAGTTGTTTTCGAACGGATAAATATCGTGATTCATTAAGGGTAATTTCGTCTTTTTACGGAGAAAAAAATGTGTTATGTTTTTGGTGGTGTACAGGTGAAATAGATGCGACCCAAGTGGGTCATTTGAGTGATTTTCCCGATCTATGATCTCAATCAACATCAAACTTTGTTTTGTCTTTTTGCAGATAAGGAACCGATCAACTTTGTTGAGTCGTTGGAGAAGGGAATGTGGAAGAAAAGAGAAATTATGTCACCAGTTTGGCATGGAAGAATCACGCTTAGGAGGGAGTATTGAATTTTAATCTTGATTACCTAGAAGAATTCAAAGTCAAGGATGCCATTTTCAAGAAGCTTTGGAAGGATTTGAACAAATAATATCTCTATTTGTAATGAAAAGTCACAAGATTTGATCAAATATTTGTTGATTTTTTTGGTAATCTAGAAGTTTGTAGAAGTTTGAATGTATTGAATATACATGGGGAATGAAGTTTAAATAAATGTGTGTAGAAATATGTATTTAGGATAAGTATAAAAAGGGGTGATGTGTAGGAAGAAAAACACAAGGAAAAAACACATGAAGAAAAAAAAGAGTGTTGTAAGAGAGAAAAGTCGTATGGATATATATGAAAGAGTTTTTTGAGTGTTACTTGTGAATTCGGGAAGTATTACTGAGCGAGGTCCATTTTATATAGTTTTTTTAAGAGCTAACATATACAACCATGGCTTCAGCCAGCGGAATTTTCAGATGGTCATATCCTTAAGCAGCTACGTATACTGATTGAACGATGCAACTCTTCTGATAGGAATAGCCGGAAGCACAGGAGCACGGAAACAGAAACGAAGACATGACGTCAGACTCTTTGTTCAGAGTCGACGATCGACCAATCGTGCATGGTCCGAGAATGCGAACGACCGATCGTCACCAAAACGAACGCTCGATCGCATCGTCTGAGCGTTTCAATGAATTTTATCTCTGAGAGGACTCTCGATCGTATCGTCTGAAATTTTAAATATTAAAATATCCTAGATTGGTACTTCGAATATTAAAATATTTTAATTTAATATCATAACCACTAAATCGAAAGCAACAATATCGATTTATTTTTAAGTTAAAAATAATATCTAATTTATAAATCGTGGTTAAAGTCGGTGTTGAAAATTATCATTTATTTTATAAGTTAAGATATCGATTTAGAATATTTTAAGTTATCAATTTAAAATATTTTAATATTTGAACCATTAATTTAAAATACTTTAATATTTAATGTATTAATTAAATCAAATTAAAATTTTAAATAGTTATTTGATATATTTTATAAAGTTTGTATATTTTGTACGGATAATGAAGTAATGAATATACCATCTTTTTTTCCTTTTAAATAAGAACACATAAAATAATAAACAATTAAATAAATATTTAAATAAAATCTCTAAAATCCTTACCAAGAGTGAAAGCCTTTTTTCCCCCAGCTTCTCTTGATCTCGCAGTCTGATTATATATATTTTCCCGTAATTTCCTGAACTAAATTATGTGAAAATAAAAAATAAAAGTTCCCCTTTTTCGGTGTAATCTGTTTGTGAGATAAGCCCCCAATTGACTTTGATCATTATCCCCCTCGAATCTTGGTCTCTCTCTCTCTTTTTAGTTTTGTTATTTATTTATTTATTTATTTGTATTTTGGTTTGCTCAATCACTTCTTCGAAGTGAGGAGGTAACTTTTGAAAAAGTTTTTTTTTTTAATTTATTAATTTCTTGTTGATTTTGTTTTCTGGGTGTTTATGATTCGATTGCTTTTGGAGAAAATTAGGTTGCTTCTCTTCAGAATCTGTATCAGATAGTTGATTTTCTTGTTGGTTGTGTCAGATTTGTTTTTGGGGTGACCGGGTGTTTTTTTTTTATATCAAAGTTCACACTAATTTCGGGTCGGTGAACATGGATGAACTCCTCAAGAACATATGGAATGCCTTGGTTAAAAACCGGATCTTTTCGGGTGATCGAGGCTCAGAAAAAACCAGTATGAATGTGCTATTTCATGTGTTTTGCCTGACCGGGAGTTCCTCGGATATCAATGCCGAGGAGAGGCAGATCACGAGCTCTTCAGCTACTGCTACTTGGCAATCTGGTGGTGGTAATGGAGTAAATCTTCAGAGGCAAGGCTCGTTAATGAGGTCTGGAGAGTCTTGATCACCAAGGAGAGCAACGAAAATAAATAACGGTGGTAATGGCGGGTCGAGTGCTCCAAGGAGGCAACATACTTCAGGAGAAATGACTCTGGAGGATTTTTGGTCCGTTCTGGGGTTGTAAGAGAAGGTAACTACGCTATCAGTAACGGGTTTTACCCTTACAGCAATGCCCGGTTTGGCTTCCGGGGTTCATCAGGCTAATAGTGGCAGCATATCATTCGGGATATAAAAAATTGTATGAGCTTTCGTCAACCAGAACCAGGTCTAGTCCTCAAAGTGGATGGCACAAGGCAGCAGCTGCAACAGCAGCCACAGCGACAGTTATTACAACCTCGGACGCAGCTGCAGCCACAAACCCTTTTCCCGAAACAAGTGAATGCGGCATTAGCTGGAGTTCCAGGCAATTCTGTTAAGAATAGCAGCAGTTTAATTGGTTTGGAACTGAGGTTTGCTGTTTCTGCAACTTCTCCAGGGACAAGTAGTGCAGATACTGATTATTTATCCTCGGTTCCTTATATTTTGGTCGGAAAAGGAGAAGCAATGTGACAGTTGAGAAGGTTATCAAGCGAAGACAAAAGAGAATGATCAGGACTCGGGAATCCACTGCTAGATCAAGGGCTCGAAAGCAGGTGAGTGTTGTTAATCTCTTACTGAAATCTCATCAGCACCATGGATTTGAACCTTGATTTCGATATTTTCGGTGAGTTTAGGCTTTTACACCTTGGAACTGGAAGCTGAAGTTGAAAAGCTCAAGAAACTGAACCAAGAAAATTGCACAAAATCTATCTCTGCTTCGTGACTCTCCTTTTAGAGTTTGGCATTGGCAGTTGAGAAAAACTGAGCTTTCACTCTGTGACAGCCCAAAACGACGGAAATGCTGAAGAATGAGGTAAATATTTCCTCGACTTTGGACAGGTTTTCTTTATCATTCTGTGTTCTGTATCTGTTAACCTCTGCAAATGCTCGTCCCACACGCTCTGAATGTGATTTTCGAGTTTACAACCTGCATTCTTGTTCTTTATAAGCTCAACCCTATAAAGTAGTGATCCATCAAATCCCAGAAGTCCTGTGCATTTCTGTTTTTTCCGAGGCAATACCCTTGGTCTCGAGTGATTCTTTACCTTCTTTTGGCAGCTCGAGGAACCGATGAATCGCCCCGTGGGAAGGCAAGAGGAAATGCTTGAGAAGAACACCAACTGACCCGTGGTAAGGTGAGCGAATAAAGCAAACGGAAACCGGGTAAACAAAAATGCAAGAAGAAAGAACTAGTTTTAATTTTATTACCTGAAAAATCTAGGGCTAGTTTTACATCTGATGTTTATAAAGTTTCAATGAACGTGAATGATATTTTCGTGTGGTCGAGCTTTATACTCACATATATATGTGCGCGTGTGTGTATATTTGCCTATTTTATATAACATGTTTTGAAGAATGAGAAAAATGGCATTATGAGAAAATGTGTTTGGTTTCTAACATTGTAATGAGAAAGAACCAGAAAAATACTATTCAGAAGCAGAAGCAGGAGGAGGAGAAGGATGACTCAGAAAGAGACCTGATTCGTAGGAGAGCCCGTCTCCAGCAGGAAACTGCGGCTGCAATGCGACCGAGAAGTCGTGCTGGACGAAGAAGGCAAGCCTCGGATGATATCCCCACTCTGAAATCCCGACGAATCCTCTCCTCTCCCTGACCGTCTCTTCCTACCGCCACCGCCACTCCTCCTTCCTCCTCTCCCTTCATCCTCCTCTACCGCCTTTTCAAACCCGCTATGCAACGGGTCACAACACTCGTAAATCAGCCTCAGTACTTGCTTTATCGATGGCCTTAACCGTCCCTCTTTCTCCGTGCACCATCTCACCACCGTGATCATTGTCTCGAGCTGTTCCCCATCTATGCAGTCCTCGATTCTTGGGTCCACAAGATCCCCGTGTCTCGATTCCTGCAGCATTAAAGGCTGAGATGTTTCCACAATGTTTCTACCCTCGTCCACCACTCTTCTTCCCGTTATTATTTCCAGTAACACAACCCCATAGCTGTACACATCGCTCTTCTCTGTCAGTTCTTGAGTTACAATGTACTCGGGATCCACATAACCTGAAACACAAACCGTGTTATTGGTTAAAAACCGGATCTTTTCGGGTGATCGAGGCTCAGAAAAAACCAGTATGAATGTGCTATTTCATGTGTTTTGCCTGACCGGGAGTTCCTCGGATATCGGTATTAACGGGTTCAAAGCTAATGGAGCCATCTCTTGAAGCATGTGCAAGGCCGAAATCAGCAAGCTTGGAACAAAAATCCAAAACAAAAAAGGAAGACAAAAAATCAGTTTCCCCGAGAACGAGCAATATACCAAGGAACCGAACTTTACAAACCTTGGCAACAAAGTTGTCGTCGAGTAATATGTTGCTGGACTTGATGTCCCGGTGACATAGAGGCGGGTCGCAGTAGAAATGAAGATATTCCTAGAGAAAAAGCTCGGTAAATATTTTACAAACCCATCGGGTTTTAGTTATCTGAGAAACGCGGTTATAGATTTTCGGGTATTTACCAATGCATTGGCCACATCAATTGCTATCTTCATTCTCGTTCTCCAACTAAGAGGAGGTTTTTCTGCAGCTGCATGTAAATGGTAAGGTTCAAACACTCCAAAATAAGCATACGCCTTAGTTTCTAAAGAAGAGATAGTAGTTTGAAGGTGAATATGTACAATGTAAATGATCCTTTAAGCTTCCATTCGCCATGAATTCGTATATGAGAAACCTGCAAGTTGAGATCGAGTGGATAAACTTTCATATTTCGATCAAATTATAGTTCCACATACTCAGAAAAAATGATTCGGAAGAGAACAGATGATTTACCTCTCGTTCTTTTTAACGCAAAAACCTTTCAAAGCGACGAGATGACGGTGATGGAGCCTAGCGAGAAGCTCGATCTCTCTGCAGAACTCGTCTTCTGCTTGTTTGGAAACCTTGTCCATTCTCTTCACAGCCCCAACAAACCCGTCGCTGAATTCAGCTTTGTAAACGGTCCCGAAACCTCCTCGCCCGATCATGGTGTTGAAATCACCCGTCGCTTTCTTCATTTCCTTGAAGTTGAATCTCCTAAAACCCGAAGAATTGCCTGCAAGATTCGCTCAACCGAGAAAAGAAAAGTTGAATCGTTTTTGGTGAGCTTAGAAATAACAGTTACTAATTTCCGTTAAGAAGAGTTTTGTACCTTCGTGAAGCTTCAACACGGGCCGCGGGGAAGGAAAAGTTTTGGTGGGATTTCCATCTTTCTTCTCGTCGTCAACAAGTTCCCGGCTTTTTCTACGGATAAGAACTATCAAGATTACAAGCATCATAAGGGCAGTGGCTGTAACCGCGATTCCAATGACGGGGACTACCGTCAAGTGGAATGATCGATGGCTTTTACTTGGTGGCAATTGGATAACATAGTTGCTGCTCGGGCTAACAGCGATATCGGGACTTGTAGAAGCTCCCGGGCTTATCGAAGATGACGATGATCCTGAAGCTATTATCAACAAAAATCATAACGGAGAATACATAATCCGAAGCTGATATGTTACGAGAAAACTATCGGTACAACACTAGAAACCCTTTTCTTCCTTTCCCGTCTTAAATTTACACGAGATCTAAAACAATATTATCTAAAACACAATGCTCGTACCGCCTTTTGTAAGTCGATGCTCATGTCTTAAATGGACAACTAGACAACAGTTACTGTCTCGGGACATTTCCATAAATAGAAACCATAATACATATAGTTCCGACACTCGAGAAATGGAAACTGCGAGAACAGTTGTATATACCTGAAGGGATATTAAGCTCGGAGACCTGAAAGAAACAGCTAGCGAGTAGAAGAGCTGATGCATTGTCGGCCGGGCTTGCTAATGCAACGTAAGTAGCATCACGGCAAGTACTCAAAGTAACGTTAGTTTCTTCACCTATAAGGTTCCGAAGGTACGTGATAGCGGAGTTCAAGCACTTCCTGCATTCATTTCCACCTGAGAGTGGGAGTCTGCAATTCCCCGAAACTTCACCAAATCTCGGGGACTGAAGCATTTGGGTTACTGTTGTTCGGCCTTGACAATCATAGTTAACGAGAATCTTGGTCCCTAACCCACAGAAAACAGTCGCATTCCGGGGAACTCCATATAGTTCCATGGATCTAGAGATGGAACTAAGGCAGATCTCAGACAAATCGGGTGTAACCCCGAGACCAGTTGTGTAATTCGCATAACGGGCGATGGATACCGCGAGAAAAGCGTTCATATAACGGCAGCATTTTCCTCGATCGGCGTTGTTGTTCGAGCACATAGAAGCCACAAGTGTGAAGTTTGATGAACTCAAGTCCAATGGGCAATCTGTGAACAGAATTAGGCATTAATCACTTGCAAAGATCCTAATTCGACACATCAAATTAGGAACATTGGATTATAAATCATGAACCCTAACTTATTGAGCCCTAACCCATACTTCAAACTCTCAAGATTTTCATCTCCATTTCCAAAGATCATCAATTTCGTTTCGTCTACACAATCCCTAAGCAGAAAAGGCCCAAAATCAATACAGAGTATTTGCATGTAAGCAACCAATCATACTCCAAATTCAAACAAATAAACCAAAACACCCAAAGAACATTGTTCAGGTGATAGCCATTGAAAGATAAACAAGAGATATCTGCAAACCCAAAAGCTGAAAACGTCAAAAGATTCAATATTTCATCCAAAATCAACATCACTATCTCCGAATTTAGCCCAACACAGGTGAATGGAACGTTGCCGCAGAGCAAGAATGACAACGAAGCTTCTCAAAGAGAGACAAATGATTATGGCGATGAAGCACACAAAAGAAACGAAAGCAAACCTGCTGCCATTAATGAAGGCAACTGGGTTCCAAGAAACGCCATTAATACCACCAAGAAAGCTTGCCCACGAACCACCATGACCAAATACCAGTGAGAGAGAGAGAGAGAGAGAGACGTTATAAAAGGTCAATGCGAGGTCCCTGCAAGTACGACATTTGAGGTTTGTGGTCAGTGACACCCAAGCAGATTAAGAGGGATAGAGAGAGACATCCCTACTTTCTGATGACAACGATGACATATAAAGTGCCTGAACTTAATTTTATATTACTTTTATATCCAAAACTTCTTAAGTATCAAAACACCCCCTCACCTTGACATGAAATTGAAAAAACTCATTATTTTCATCTAAAATGATTAATATCTTTTTTTAGCATCATTAATCTGATATTTGGTAAATGAAGTCGGTTTTATATTTTAGTATCTGAATAAATATTAAATTATTGTAAATGGTCGAGTAAATATTTAAGTTGTCTTTTGGTGTCCAATCTAATTAATTACTAAAGTTTTTTGGATATCCAATCAAATACTGGCTTTGTATTTTGACATCCAATCAAAATATAGTAAAAAAAAGAAATCAAATATAAAATTAACATCTAAACTCATACTAAAATATACAATCATTATTTAATTAGATGTAAAAACAATAAATTAGATATTAATTTAAAACACCTAATTTAGAATTAAATTAGATATAAAAACTGATGATAAAATATAATAAATTTCGTGTTTGTTACAATCATATATGATAATTTAATATTTATTTAGATAAAAAAAATTAAAATAGGCTTTTTTTTATTTAGATAAAAACCTTTTGTCATCTTTCTTAGAGAAAGAGAAAGATAATTATGAGAATGGGAATATGATTTCGTGTTTGGTAAGAGAGGGAGACAAGGATCTTATACAAAATGGCTGCTGTGGTCGGGCGCTTTGCTGGGGAACACGTTGGTTGAATCCTCACTTCCTATGTTTTTTTCTAATATTTAATGTCGAATTAAATTTAACATTGAATTAATGAAAAATGCCATGTGGACCCTTATAATACATACATATATATATATATGTATACATACATAGCGGCCCCTCTATGTCACATTCATGGCACTGTACTATACCTCTGAATATGGTATGTTCAGGTTCATACATCATACAATCATACTCGTAATATTATTTTAAAAGTATGTTGTCAATTTCCTTATGATTCGAATTTTATTATATATAACTATACACAAATTGTAGGACAATTATTATGGCAATGATATTGTACTATAGTTCGGAATGTGATTTGTCTTAGGTTCACACTTGATATTTATAATAGTACATATAAAAGAACCTAGTTATGAAATTCGTTTCGAAAAAGATATAGCCAGACCAAAAATTAGGTAATTTAATACTTGGTTGTATCACAACAAAACAACCCATTATTAGTGGAAAGTTTATCCAAAATAATTAGAGACCTAACGGTCCTAAATTCTCAAATCATTGACGTATTCATTATATAAAATTTATCTTTAATATATATATATATATAATTTTACCACATAATTAATTAGAAAAAATCGTTAAAAAGTATGTATTGTTTTCTGGTCTCAAACTAATATGTAGACTAATTTATTAGCCGATAAACTCCAAACTTGATCCAATCAACTTATATATTCCTATATTTTTGCAATCGTTAACCAACATATCTCTGTCATATGATGGCGTTCCGTTAACATCAACTCACAAAACACGTCAATGCCACATCGGATTAATGATCCATGTCAATGCCTGGCCTAGATCCAGGCCATGTCTTCTCCTTCTTCCTCCTGTAATTGTCCCATGAAAATGTTTAATATAGAGGAGAACTAACGTAAAGTTGGAAAAAGAAAATGTTAAGACACGGAAAAAGGCTTCAAGAAGAAAAATGAAAGAAACAAGTTGTAATGTCCCAACGGCTACTAGCTTCTAATCAGCCCTAAATCTTCCTTAAATGATGCCACTTGAATGTAGATTGACGCTCCAATATTCTTGGTAGATTTTGTCTTGGTGATTCCTCGTTTAAGCTCTCTTGGCTCTTCAGTGTTGATTTAGTATTCAAGTGACCGTGAGTTCTGATCGTGCCAATCTAGGTGAATGGATGGTCAAGTAATAAATACCTAAACTAAGATGATTCCACAAGGATACATATTTAATGTAGTACCAGGGTCGGACACAGAGATCAAGAGATGATGGTGTCGATGGTGATCCCAGCGAAGGTCGATAGCAAGATAATTGGTTGGTTGGGAAAGAACTATAACTAAAGGCACCGTAGGTTCGAGGGTTCACCAATGCTACAGACTATCTAAATAGATGTGGTTGGTTTGCAGTCTAAGGTCGATTCAAGAAACTCTAACCTCTATCCTAGAACGCGTCCGTCAGAGATCTTCGTTCTCTAACTAACGCTTTCCTATCAGCTTCCACATCTTTAGGTCTACGTTAGAAACATTAACGTCTGCTATCATAGTTCTTAGGTCGAATTAAGAATTTCTTATCAAGTCCAACCTATGCGTTCAGAATTAATAATTGAGTCTATCTTATGAACGAATTCCGATATTAATTAATCCAAATTCCTTTGCAATTAACTAATTCAAGTTCAATTCTATAGAGTGATCAATCCTAAGATAATATTACGTTCAATTAATAAAACTGGATCTAACTTAAACATGCATTCAACTGTTTAAGCACATTGATAATTCCATAACATGGCTAGACTCTCTAACCTAAAGTAAGTAACCTACTCACACATCAGGAAGGAAAGCAAAGTAAACATGGATGTTAAAAATCTCCATATCGATGTTTTCTAACATCGATATTCTCCCACAATGTCAAGATCTTGAGGTTATAGAAGGTCGATATCGATGTTATAAAAAGTCGATATCTGGACTGCTCAGATCTCGAGGTATGGAACATCGATATCGATGTTCGGAAACGTCTAGATCGGGAAATCTTTAAATCTGATCTCGAGGTGGATGGAAACGTCGATATCGATGTTGAGGGACGTCGATATCGATGTTTTAAACGTCGATATCGATGTTCTCAACATCGAAATTCTCCCTTTTCGCTCCGAAGTCCGTTTCTCGCCCGTGACAAGTCCGTGACCTTAGCTCATCTGTGATCGTCCACTTAGTCCAATTAAGCTAAAAAAAATACCGTTTTAGCTCCATTTTCGTCCAATTACGTGGATATTCCTGAAATTATATCAAAGAGCAAAGAAAACGGTATTTGTATACAAAATGTGTTGTGATGAGGACATCGTAGCCACTAGCGATGCATTGGACAAAAACTTGGACGAGAGCTCGGAGGAGACGAAATTAAGGCATGGAGCTAGGAGCTCAAACGAAATGCATGGAGCTAGGATCTCAACCATAGAAGGACGAGCTATCAAATAACAAGGTGATCCACGTCCAAGAAGAGCCAAGGATGGTTGTACAAAAAACGAAGGATGCATCTCTAGGTTTTTCGGGCCGAACCACCATTGACTCGAGCCAAAACACGAGCTCCTTCCCTTCGGATCAACCAAGACATGAAACCTCATCTCCTTTCAAGACTAAGTGTCATCCAAGTCAAGACAAGTCACCAAAGGAAGCTTCTTGGATTGCAAGGAACCTCCAACAACTAGTATCTTCTCAACCGCCACCATTAATGACCAAGGCTCCACCTATCTTGCATGTAGATTGATCATTAATGTATTTCTAGCTGTTGTTACCTACTTAATCCTCTATAAATATGTTGTAAGAACTCCATTTCGTACAGATTTGTTGAATGAAAGTTTCTCTTTGTCGAGTTTAATCATTCCTTCTCGGTTTGTCCGATTTCGTGCTCGGTTTGTCCGACAATCCTGTCTTGGTCTGTCCGAGACCCTATCTTTCGATTTTTCATCCATTCCTCCACTTTAGGATTGAGTTCGAATGCCAGTCTAGGCCTGTGATTGATTCTAAAGCCATCCCCTTTAACCACCGAAAACCATCCTTCATTTCCTTGCGTGAGTTCGAGTGCCTTCGATCCGAAGCGCGGGTGATCGCGTTAGGGACTGTTTCTAACCATCCATCGATGTGCTTGCATCATTTTGGTATCAGGGCTTCAACCATCCACATGACGTGGCAGCTTCCCCTCGGTGAAATCTCTCCATCTCTATACGTTTTCATTTCATATTATTCGGAAAAAAAATTTGTTTCGATTGTGTGCAGATTTTGGTGTGTATTAAGTGTGAGTTTGTTTGTGTTTTTCTGCGAGTTTGTGTTCATTGGTTCTTTATTCAATCCACAATCTGTTTGTAATTTGATCAAGACGAAACCATCCCTTAGTTTGATCGAAATCTGTTCACAAACCTGATCAAAAATTTGTTCGAACATTGCTGAAAATCTGTGTTGTGTAGTGCAGAAATCTGTTCGTGTTTGAGTGGGTATTTGTTTATGTTTTTGCATCGAATTTGATATTCATTTGATCGTCATTCAATCATCAATCCATCGATAATCTATGCTGATCGAAATCTGATGTATGAAGTTGTTGTTCCTCCTCCGAAAATCTGTTGTGAAACATTCATCTTTGTGTGCTCTGTTTTGCATCGGTTTAGGATCTGTTTTAAGTGAGGTATAATTTGCTTGATATTGTTGTGTGATTTTCTGAGATTTGTGCTAGACATTGTGGTTGTTGATTTCTGCTAAAAGACTTCTTTGAAATTGCCTTAATCGTGTGTTCATTGCTATTATGTGTCTTGCACGTTTTCTTTACTCGGAGTAAACTAACGTATTCATTATGTTGAATGAGCCAGTAAGTCACGAGTCTAGCAAGGGAGCTGTGGTTATAACACTCCAACATATCCTAGATCGTCTTGAATGATTAGAGAAAGCTAGGAGATCTGATCCTAGAGTCCAAGAACCCACCCGACAACCCTCCATGACGCGTTAGAACCCCAACCTGGAACCCGTTGACGACATTGTTAGAGAGCCTAGAACCTGACTTTTTAGGCTTCAATGTTTCCCCGGAACAACTCCAAATGTTCCCGTTTCGTCTGTGATGTTCCGTAGTCCATGTTTTCCACTCCTTTTGCTCTCTTTTATGTATGAATACTTGTTTTGACACCAAAGAAAGCAACCAAGCAATATCAAGACCAAATGTATTCTAGAATGCCTATAAATATGCAAAACCGAGTAAAATGCACTAGACATCCTATACCAAAATGTCACCAAAATACATGTTATCAAACTCCCCCAGACTTAAACCTTTGCTCGTCCTCAAGCAAATACTCCGTGAAAAGCGGTCTGAAAGGAGGGTGAGACAATGACATAACTCAAAATGATAATCGAGAGCGAAACCTCTATCCGACCTAGATCCCCGTGAACAATGATCAAGTCTATCTAGTATGATCTCCCTCTCTAAAGGATAGTCTTTCCTTCCTATGGGATCTATACCGCTACCAAAAACCAATCCAAGAACTTCAATCATCTACCAAGCATGTTTCTCGAACCTATCACGCCATTCTCCCTATCACGCCATTCTACCTAATCATATCAAGTATACGCTTTTGGTATTCATTCTTTTTCTTCTTCTCTTTTTTTTTTCGTCTAGCTATCTTTTTTTCTTTTACTAGCATCTCGGGTTCCTAGGACGTTGAAGTTGAAGGGTTCCTAATCAATTTTTTTTTCGATTTTATTTATTGGATAACCCGAGGTACAACTTAGACCCGAACCATCAAATTGATGCACTCATGTCCTCGAACGATTTTCGTTGACGAGATAATGACAGCGGAGTGTCGAGATGCTCACTATCTTTTTCTGCACATAACGAAATAAGAATGCATTTGATAATAGATTTTATCGATTTCAGCAAACATGGGAAAGGTTCTTATAGAAACTTTTCTACTTGGCTATACAACATCGGTCCCATGGGTTCCAACCAATGATTTCTATCCCACAAGCCATTCTAGAAAATCCTAAAGGTCAAGCAATCAATTCAATAAAACATAACCACGTTCAACAGATCACAATGTTTTCAAGACGTTTCTACTCTCTCATGCCATAGATCATCACATCAATGCTCAAAACGGTTTTATGTACGTGATCTTATATGTCCTAAATATTATATATAAATGCACAATCCTAACAACAAATTATATGACCCTAATGCATCCTATATGTACATGTAACTAAAAAGTGAAAATAAAAGGGAAAAATGCATGCAACACTACTCTATATGGATATGGTTTGGCGTTAGACGAATCCTCCCCCAGACTTGAACTGGACACCGTCCTCGGTGTCAATTCTCGTCTAGTAGAGACAACCAATAAAATGAGTCAAAAGAGAAGAAAATCAAGAAGGAAAAAGAATACTTAGCTCGCGATGTTCGTTCACTCGCACTTAAGTCTGCCTATGTCTATCGCATAGCTAGCATCCTTGCCTCCTCAATAGCTCCTCATTAGAACTCAACCTGGTGATAAGAGACACAAACCAATATATGATGCAAAAATAAACAGAAAGGAAAGAAAACTAACCTAAGAACTCGGGTTGCCTCCCGGGAGCGCTTGTTTAGGGTCTTTAGCTTGACCAAACTCTCTCAACTACCAGATGGGTCTAATGGGCGAAGATTATCGATCTTCTGCCAACCTTTTGTCCTAGCTGGATCTGGTCCTCTCTTAACCTTGTGTTTGTGGTCCTGGTTCTTAGGCGTTTTGAGCTTGTAAACTGAACAAATAGATTTCACACTTTTGTCTGGATTGTCATTTTGATTGAGCATGAATTCTATTGTCTCGTCTCCAATGGACATAGTAAGACGATCCGCTCTGACATGGATGACAACATATGTTGTGTTGAGAAAGGGACGCCCTAGAATGACAGGCATGCTTGAATCTGCATCTATGTCAAGAACCACAAAATCGACAGGTATGTAATAATCACCCACCTTAAGTGGCATATCCTCTAGTATACCTGCAGGCCGTTTGGTCGACCTATCTGCCAACTGTAATATCATTTGTGTGGGTTTGAGTTCACCCACTCCTAGTCTCTTGAAGATCGACAATGGCATTAGGCTTACGCTTGCTCCTAGATCACATAACGCATGTTCAATAAAGAGATTGCCCAGTTTGCAAGGAATGGAGAAACTACCTGGGTCTGCCATCTTACGGGGCAGATCATGTTGAAAAACGGCACTACACTCTTTGGTTAATGGTATTGTCTCCTTCTCCAGTGTCTTCTTCCTAGCCAGAATATTCTTGAGAAATTTGGCATAAGAGGGCATTTGAGTGATTACCTCATGAAAAGGTATTGTGACCTCCAATTTCTTTATCATGTCCGTGAAGCGCTTCAACTGGCTAGCCTCTTTTTGTTGCACAAGTCGTGAAGGGAATGGAACTGGAGGAAGTCTGGGAGGTGGAGGAACATACTTTGGTTCTTCCTCACATGTCATCTTAACTGGAATATCTGCAGACTGAATGTTAGAGGTCATCGAAGATCTAGAGTAAGAAGACTCACCTTTTTCAAGAGTAGGGGGGACAACATCCTCAAGTTGCTTCCCGCTTCTCAAGAACACTGCATTACAGTGCTCTCTAGGATTTGTCTCGGATTTACCTGGAAGTGATCCTTGAGGTCGCGAAGGTATAGAGGCTGCGAGTTGAGCTATCTGGTTATCGAGAAGCTTCAAGTGGGCGTCGGTCTCTTATTGATGTTTACGCATCTCGTTGCGAATAGCTTCTTGACCCTGCATAAGCTATGCGAACATAGACTTAAGATCGAGGTCAAAATCTACCTGTTGTGAAGGCGGAGACAGAGCGTAATTCTGCTGAGATTGAAGAGGTGTTGGGTAGTGTTGAATGGCCTGATTCTGATGTTGCGGGGGAGCTCGATGTCGAGGTTGATATCCTTGAGAAAGACCCGGATTAGCCGGACCACCAAAATTTCCGAGGGGAGTATTCAAGACGTCGGAAGAATTCTTGTACGAGAAGTTTGGATGATTCTTCCACCCCGAATTGTACACATTCGAGTACATGTTGTTATCTACGTAGTAGACATCTTCGATCATGTACCCGTTGGTTGATGTGTCTAAGTCTGAGATCTGATGGGCATTCTCAACCTGCATTTTAAGTTTTGCCAATTCTGCACGTAATGCCTGAATTTCAGATAGACTTTCTTTACCTGCACGACTGTCTTTGAGGCTAATGTTTCTGATAAAGTCGTGAGAGGGAGCACACTCGTTGGCCATCTTGTTGATTTGTTGCTCTATGAAGTTGAATGATTTTTCGTTGAGGCTTCCTCCACATGCTACTCGAATAAGAACCCGAGTGTCCTCCTTTAATCCCTGCAAGAAAGTGGAAATAAGGTACCTTTTATCCCATCCATGGTGAGGACATGTTCTCTGGTATACTTGAAAGCGATCCCAAGCTTCACGTAAGGATTCATCAGGTTCCTGCAAAAATGAGTTAATCTGTTGTTTCGCGAGCTGGGTCTTGCTAGCGGGGAAGAACCGCTGCATGAACTTTTCTTGCATTTGTTCCCATGAGAATATGGATTCTGGAGGTAGTGTGTAGAGCCATTCCAGAGCAGTATCCATTAAGGAGAATGGAAAGGCCATGAGCATGAGAGACTCATCGGTAACTCCGCGGACTGTCCTCACCGACTGGCATAGTAGCTTGAATCGAGTCAAGTGAGGGATCGGGTCTTCGTTAGGTCTACCTCTGAAAGCCGATGAGCTCAGCATATTAATGAATTGGGTCTTCATTAGGTTTACCCCTGAAAACCGATGAGCTCAACATATTGATGAATGCCGGTTGAAACTCAAAATTGTTACGGTCGATGTCAGGCCGACGAATGCATGAAAGCTGCTGAATGTACTTAGGCTGAAGGTATGCCCCATAAGTGTCATTTGTTCTTCATCTTTCTTTGTTGGCATTTCTTCTTTCGATTGCGCTTAGCGGACTTCTCGATTTCAGGGTCAAGAGGTACTAGGTTATCAGGCCCAGAACTCCTAGTCATACATCGGAAACCTGTACACCTGAAAGTAGAACAAATACAAAGAATAGATCAAGAAATTGAGGGAAAAGAAAAAGAAAAAAAAATCTAGATTCAAAGGGATCTTTATCCTAACGCTAAAACTATTCCCCGACAACGGCACCAAAAATTTGATCACGTAAATCTAGGTGTATAAATAAGCTCAAATAATAAAGACCTAGATACAGCGAATACCGCAAGGATATGAATCAACTGTAGTACCAGGGTCGAACACAGGGGATAGTTAACACTAAGAACAAGACTCGACTAAGATTCAGATCAGCGAATAGCAGATGAAACAGATGATTATCGAAAATAAAGTAATAAACAAACTAAGTAAATCAGATAACTAAACCACCGTAGCTTCGGGATAACCTTAACGCGCAAGGATTGTTTCTAAGAATGGAGAATCTACGAATATCGAACTCTAATCGGGGATCTCAAGTTCTAATATCAGATTTGGCTCTCTCAAGTCCTAAATCCACTATCCAATAATTTAACCTATCGATCTCTCAACCTAATAGATTAAAATATCAAATGCATTAACGATCACTATCACAATTCCTAAACCGATTAACCTATCTCTCAATAGTCTTAATCAATTCATTCAATGAATTCGTTCCGAATCTAATCTCAACTCTCGTTGCAAATCAGAATCTAAAATCAATCAATCAACTGGCCAAGAAGATCAAAAGCAATAAACTCAATTCAATTAAACCGCCGAGTATCGATAACGTAGTCTCGGAAAATAAAAACCAAACAAATCCCTACAAGGTTAAATCCCTAGCTACAGTGAAATGATTACTCACTACCCATAACAACAAATGAGTTCAAATCAATAAGAAGAAACATAGAAACAGATAAAGAAGACTCGCAGCGATCTCTCGACGACGATTCTTCAATCTCTGCTCCCGGAAAACTCCGTCTTGATTCTCTCTCGAGTTCTCTGGCTTCTACTATGATCTTTCGATGATTTCTAAAGTCTAAGACGTCCTCTCTTTAATGGCTTGGCGGCCCGGTTTCTTCCTTTGCTGAAAACGGAAGTCCGGATGCAAAATAGGAAGTTTTCCCGTAATGTAACACGGCCGTGTCGAATGCAACACGGTCCGTGTCAATTCTCTATTAAAAATCTGCAATTTAGACATGGGCTGAACACGGGCGAGTTTGAATCAACACGGCCGTGTCGAATGACAACACGGTCCGTGTCAATTCTCTGAGCAAAACTTCACTTTTTTCAGTACGGACACAACAGGCTGTATCGAATGCAACACGGTCCGTGTCGATTCTTCAACTCGAACATGCTTGACATATTTGTTCATAACTTTCTGCTCCAATGTCGGATTTGTGCGATCTTGGTGTCTATGTGTAGTATTGAAGTGAGGTGGAGAACGCATAATTTGGACTTGTAGAGTGGAAGTTATTGGACTTGCAAGATCTGACTTTTTAGGCTTCATGTGTTTCCCCGGAACAACTCCAAATGTTCCCGTTTCGTCTGTAATCTTCCGTAGTCTATGTTTTCCATTCCTTTTGCTCTCTTTTATGCATGAATACCTGTTTTGACACCAAAGAAAGCAACCAAGCAATATCGAGACCAAATGTGCTCTAGAATGCCTA